ACAAGGAGAACTGTGTGATTTTTATTGCTTGTTTAAATTAAAATAAATACCATGTTTACCAGTATTTTCTACTTTGTTCACTTTTATTTTGGAGGCCCATAATTTCTGGTGTTGGAATGCATTTAAAACGAACCAAACACTGTAGAAACACTGACTGTAGAGTCAGGGAGGCTAAAGTAGCAAAGGAGAAAGAGCCAGAAGTGACCGCTCAGTGGTGTTTCTACCACAGAGCTCATATCACACAGTTTGAATAAAACCTGATAAGCTGGTCTGTTTATTAATTAGTTGTGTTGTCAGGCAGCTGACTTTATTTTCACACAAATATAAAAGCCAACAGATTTAATGTCCAGACATTTATCTTGTTTATAACTATCTAAAAGTAGCTGTTTGAATAAATAAATGTGTGTTTGAGAATATCAGTCTGTGTGCTCATGTGAGAAGGAAGCACTTGTCAGCACCTTCACTCTATGTTTCCTACGTGATGAGTAAAACTGCTTGAAACATAAATGTTCATAAATAAGGACCTCTATGATCAGTATCCACCTCTGGAGTTTGTGTTTTGGCCCTGCTCAGCTCATGGCTGCGTGGAGATTACCAACAAGAGGATATGTTTCATCTGGCTGTGCTAAACTGTCTCCAGTACCTTTATCTGGCAGATGACTTGTTTCTTACCTGAAGCTAACAAACAAATAAAACCAGCTTTAAAATATTAGTTTTCCCTCAAACTACGACCACAGCGGAAACTAACCCTTTTAATCCATTTTGACGATTTAATTAAAAAAGGCAAGCTCTTCCCCTTTTCAATGAGCATAACATGCTGTGTGAGTCATTCTTCATCAGGGGGCTTTCTTTCTCCAGGTGTGCAGCCTTTTACTGTTTGTCAGCGGTACAATTCAAGCAAAGAGGCAGGCTGCAATCRTTCAACACCTGTTCCAGCAATAAAGTGATCTTTTATGACACTGGGCAACCCAACACAATCCCCAGCTAATAGACCTTGAATTGTTKTAATAGCTTTTGGTTTTGTGTAACAAGTATTACTGTGATAACATTTGTCTTCCAAACAAAACCAGTTTCATTTGTAATGCAAGGACAACCAATACAACAGCAGGTTGTGTTTCCAGTTTGATCATGGATTGTGCCACCATCCCAGAAC